GTTGATTACTCGCTTATCACACTTCACCCCATGCTGTCCCATTTTACCCCAAAGACACGGTTTCTTTAAAATAAAAATTACATACACTTTATTATAATCAACAGTCAATTTTAGGGGATGGAACCAGTGCCCGAAGTGATGCTTTATTTGTTAAAACTACTTTGATGCAGAGATCGAGGCGTCTTGAGACCAAAGTCTTGGTCTCGAGATGCCTCGAGACTCATATTTCACTGTTTTGGTCTTGGTATTGGTTTTGAAACCTAAAGTCTTGGTTTTAGTCTTGGTCTTGAAGTCTAGAGTCTTGATCTAGGTCTCGGACCTCTACTGTCTTTTACTTTCTTGATTCTTACGAAAAATATCAACTCAATAGGCCGGGTTAATATAAATGAGCAATTGCTTTTACTTAGTAATTGATCAACATTCGTGAATAAAATTTTTTAAAGTTAAGTAATTACTGAGTAAATTACTTAACTTTATGTGAATAAAAATATGAGGAAAACTACTTTTATTCACGTAACTTTTATTCACGTAAAGCTGACCAATTATTAAATAAAACCAATTTCCCGCTCTCAACGATAATTTAGGTGTTAGATAGCTTTGTGATGGTTGTATGTACTTGTTATTCATATCGCAGATAAATTTCCAAAAATTTGCATTCTCGACAAGAGATAATGGAAGTGAGCATCCAACAATAAGGTTTGCAACTAAGGAGTCTGTAATTTTGATTTGGTCAGGATACTGCGACCTGTACGAGCTATTCTATTTTGTGAAAAATGTGTTAATATTTATTTGTTTGCAATTGAAATTATTATGTTTTTGTGCGACATACTCTGCGTGTTTTTCAGGGTGAACGTTACTATAATAAAAAAAGTTGAAAAATGTGTTATATAAGTACAAGTAGTAACTTCTTACATAAAATACTTAAATAAAAATATATAAACGTTACTTGAACGAGTCATTTCAGAAATAGCTTAAGTAAAAAAAAACAACCAGGGTGAATATGGCTAAAGATGAGTCTGAAATATCAGCCACAATTACGCTGCTTCTACTTAAGATAAAGATATAATATATACAATATAATATATCATCGTCTCAAGCAAAATCAATGTAATTGTGTCGGGATTGCGGCTAATATTTCAGATTCATCTTAAGCCATATTCAACTTGGTTTTTTTTTTACTTACGTTGTTTCTGAAATGACCCATTCACTTTATTTTTTTTAACTATAGTATGAGGCTATTGGTCTACCATGTCTGCTATTTGTTTTTAGATATTTTCTATTGGTACTTATTCTTTTTAACATTACAAAAAAAGTTAGTTTTTTATTGTTGTTATTATTACTGAAAGTTTTCTGTTAATACTAAATATATCTTTTGTAGACTGCAATTACATCATTCACGCGTAACTACGTTTTATTATAAGGTAATGTTTATGAATGCTAAATTATCACACGAACTAAGGTGTAATAGTATTGAAACATTTTTTTTGACACAAGCAAAACCCAAGCAATAAGTTAAGTAGATCCAGCATTTAACATTCTAAACTGGAAACAACGTATTAATACATTATAATATATTATAAATACATCTACGCTAGCCTAATAAATAAAGAAGGGTTGCAAAGCTTGTCAACAAATAAAACCTGTTTACCTCATATACGTGAAAGCATGGGTTTTATTGGACTTTTTTGAAAATAAGTCTTGATCCCGGTCTTGTTAAAACTTTTGAAGTCTTGATCTTGGGTTTATCTTTTGATGTCTTGGTCTTGGTCTTGAAGCATTCAGTCTTGGTCTTAGTCTTGAGCTACATCTCTGCTTTGATGTAGTATATACATTATATAAAAAAGATAATAAAATTATTCTGAAAATATTTTTTGATATCCGACATTTCCCCACTTTTCCCTACAATTCAGTTATGATACAAACTTACTACTTTAAATTAGTAATCGTTTTTAAAAATAAACTAGAAACTCTCGTGAAGACCCGAGCTGCGAAACCAACATAACCAATACTTCAGATACCAGTATCGCGTGATCTTGTTATTGATACTTTAAGGAATCGCATCAATACCAGACAACAAACCGGGACTCGATACCGATTATTTAATGTCTAACGTTTATTCAAATGCATATATCGCGCATTCAAATTTTATAACAGGGTTACGAAAGCCAAATAATTGATACTCACTTAAATAAATTACGTCACGCAATTTTTGACGATTTTAAACCCCATCCACTCCCTCGTAAACAGAATATAAAAACTTTTTTTGGTAAGTTTTGTTGAGTTTTTTTATCGTAACTTTAAGTAGCAACTATGAAAATTTTTCTAAAATTGTTTTATCCTTCCTATCTAAAATTGTTTTATCCATTTATTAAGCATATTGATGTTTAGTGCTGTTGGAAGCTTTGTTTAAGGCTAAACATTATTTGAACTCTCATCCCTAAAGGGAGGAGTTTTTTTAATGTTTTTTAAATTGGCCTACAAGTTACTGAAAACTGTAAAATTGCGTATAAAATGACTTCAAATATTTACAATTTTTTCTTGATTTAACAACATTTAGTAACAAAAAACATAATACAAATTTTGGGTTTTTCCCTGAAACTCAATAATAAACTGAAACACTTCGGATTCCTAAGGGAAAATCAAGGCTATGGACATAATATAGCAACAATCTAATCAGCAAATGTATACGAAAGAATTATTCAATTTCAATCAATTTCCAGAGCTCTTATAAAATCTGGAATTCGTTTTTGTATAATCATTAACTATAGTGCATTTGTTCAAATCTCTGGCTATTTCTGGATATTATATGGCTATTATATTAATTCCTACTTTAAAATCGATGACGTATGTACCATCCTCGTTCAAAACAAATTGAATCTGTTTATCAGATTACTGAGCAATCCGACTTGTTTTTCCTTGATTTTAACTCAAATATCTGATGTAAATAAGGATACCTGATTTATCAAAGAAGTAATGAAAATTTGCAACCGCCTGGAGCTAAGCTTCATTCAGTGTTTGATTAAGGGGGAAAAAATCATTATCAAACGTCGTAACGAGACGTAGAAGATAATATAGCAGAAATTTTAAACCAGACCATTGAATTATGGAACATCAGAGAACAAAGAATGATATTCAAAAATTTGATGGAAGAAAGCATTCCAAAAAGAATCTAAATTAGAATTTTAACTTTGTATTTTTTACCTTTAATTTTAGGTGATGAATAGAATAAATAAATAATTTCTTTTTCTTTTTTTTTTAAGTTTACATATATTTGCTGTTTATATAATAAGAAAATATAATTACAAAGAAACATTTACATACAAATAAAAGTTGATTTATAAAAACAGGCAGAGGCTCAAAGAAGATACGGATGACTAAAGTCACCACAATCTTTTCATAAAGCCCCTATGTGGGCTTTACAAGATTAAAATAGAATAAGATTGTTAAAAATACAATTGTGCAATTCCAATATAATAAAAAAAAACTTTCATAAATATTTACATTTAAAGAAAGAAAGGAAATAGTATTAAAAAGACACAATTTTTTTTTCAAACTAAGAATAATGGAATTCGATGTTCATTTAGAAAAATTGCAAAATTATTTATGTTTAAAGATTTCATTTTTTATTAGAAACTTAAAGAAGTTTAATGATTTTACCGTATTTAAATGTTTGGTTTTTTGAAATTGTTCCATAGTTTCGGTCCACGGAATGCTATTCTATATTCAGAATACTTGCTCCTAATTCTAGGCAATTTATAAGTATTCCATTGGTTTATTCTAAGAGAGTAATTATTGTTAACATTTTTCGTAAATTTATTATTAAAGGTTTTCGGAATCAGGCTGTTATTATATTTATACATAAAAATTAAGTGTTGGTAAATATTAATTTCATATATACTCATCATTTGCATGTCTTTCATTAGTGGTTTTGCATATTCATGTTTTTTTTTCCTTATATATTAGTCTGCATGCATGTTTTTGTAGAGAAAATATTTTTTTAAGTTTTGTTGGTTGAGTTGGAACTAGCCCATGTAATATTAGAATAGTAAATAAAACAATGTATTAGGCCAAAATATACTAGTTTCAGACTTTCTGATGTTACATATAAGCAAATACGGTACATCAAACCAATTGTTTTACTAATTTTTGATTGGATATAATTTATGTGAGGAAGCCATGATAAATTTTCATCAATAAGAATTCCTAAGAATTGTATTGACTCCAATTAGTTTATCATCTAAAACTAAATCTGGTAATTTTATATGGAATAGAGTATACTATGTTTTATCTACATTAAGTGACAGTCGATTAATGGAAGTGAAAAGTAAAGAAAGATTTTTGCTAAATTTTAACTATTTAAAAATTTGAACTAAATTTAAAAATATAGTTAGCAATAAAAATTAAGAACTAATGATTTCAATAACACCTAATCTAATGACACCTAATAAACACGGCTTTTTATCCAAAAGATCTACGTGCACAAATCTTCTAGAGTCAACTAATGACTGGAATAGAGCTTTAGATAGCAATTAAATTACTGACGTGGTGTACATTGGTTTAAATAATATACAATCTATATTAGAAGAAATTTGTCGCCTTAAGCAAGACATGATTACATGTAACAAAGTTCTGAACAAATTAGCTTGCCTTAGCTTGGATTATAAAATTTTGAATAAAAGATGTGTATTTTTCGCTTGAGCTATTATTTTATATTTTTGGTTAAAATATATAAAGAATACCCATATACTGCAATGATAAAACGCATATTTTTGAAACAAAAGTTTATTGCAATAAAATTTTTTTCAAAATTTCAGGAAATTTGACCCGAAAAATTTCCGAAAAATTTCTTTTTAAAAGAAAGTTTTGTAAGCTTTTCAGTTATTATGCTTCTGTTTAATGCTCGCATAATAGTACATTTTATTATAATATATTTTCCTATGCAAGTATCTGCCATACATAAAATCAAAAAAATTATTTAAGTAAAAGTAAAGAAATTTTTGTTAAATATTGATATGTACTTTATATAAAGGTATAAATTTACACGTGAAACCGTCTGTATAATTGTTTTTCTTTAATATGTGTACGAGTTCACAATAAACAGCACTTCTTCTTCCTTCTATAATATACAAAGCAAAAAAGTAAATTAAACTAAATATTTTTCCCATATATATGTATATATTAGGGTTGTTTTTATTTAACAAGTGTCGAAAACATAATGGGAACCGGTCTTATTTGGTTCCTTTATAGTAAAAAATCACCTGTGTGAAATTTTTTTGATTTAATTTACATCTAAAAATTGCATATAAAACATGAAGTTCTCTATTTTTACTGTTTCGTCACGATTAAACAATAAGTCGAACTATATCTTGTTTCTAGATTGTTTTTCTGTTAAACTTTTTTTCTAAAGACAATAAAAAATAAATAATATTTTTATTTAAAAAAAAATTGAATCAATAGTAACTAAGAAAAAACTACACGCTAAATGAGCATGAGTAATGAAAGCTACACTCTTCATTTGGTTGTCCAGCTGTTTGTGTGCTTTTTTACAATCAGGGAAGACACGTTTATATTCTGTTATAACTGAAAGAGAAATTGAAACTGACCTTCATGTACCATGAGCTGATTATATTCTTGAATAAGAGCCAATCCTCTCTCTGCACAATCATCAATAACTTCAATATTTTGAGCAAATCGTAAAGATGATGGAAAATTAGACATAAACTAGAAGACTGAAATTGTATATCAAGAGGGGGTGTTCCCCCCAAAAATATTTCCAATAATTATCAGTAGTATTCTCTCATTAGATATCCTGCTTTCCCATGCAGAATGTCTTAAGCAAAACTCTGTGTTTTTTTGTCAACATTTTGAGTTTTGCACACAAGATATTAAAGAGACAGCCATTGTTGCACAATGTGTTTACTTGCCAATCAATTTAAGAACAATGTTTAAAACTGTGAAAATATTTGGATCAGTTTTAGAGTCTAATATCGCCTTGAAAACATCTCCAATCAACAATTCAGTATGTCAAAGTAAATTTTGGTGGATTTTTTTAAAAAAAAAAACACAAGCTCCATTCAAGCAACTTATACCTCAATCTGTTGAATCAAAGTCATTAATTGCAGTGGCAGCTGCTGAATTTCTTATTATGATTTTTTACAATACAAATTATGAAATAATTATTCAGAATGTCTGTAAGAAAAAACAATTAAGTTTTAGTTAAGTTCGTAGAACCATAGTCAGCAATATCAATCAGACACAAGTTTATCTTTATTAGTTTATTAAACTGATTCCCTTTAAGTATTATTTCAACAGATATTTTTGTATTTATTGAGTAAATTGTCAATCTTGCCAACAATGTATCATTTAACGGGTGATGGGAAAGTTATCAGACAAACCTGAATTTAATTAATTTGTTTTTGTGATTTTATGCGTAAGGATAAATGTTCAATGAAATATAAACTTTATTATTTAAAACACAATTATTCAAAATGAGGTTAAATTTAACTTTAAAAAAAGAGACTCAAAACGTTTTGTGTTTTTTTCTGCTTCATCTTAAATCTCTTTCCAAAAAAATATTGTCATCTTTAAAGTTAATATATTTTTGGATTGTTGTCATTTGTCTTTTAGGTCTCTTGTAATTTTTTCATGCAAAAAACTTAAACCTGACCTAACTTATAACCCCTAACATATTTAAAATTCTCACTGGATTTATAGATATTTACTGTTACTACCTCTACATGAATTACATCAAAAGAGGTTTTTCTTAGCAGAATTTTTACCCAGATTTTGACCAGGTTTTTGTAATAGTGAATGTAACAGTAAATGTAACAGTGAATGTAACAGTGAATGTAACAGTGAATGTAACAGTGAATGTTTTAATGTAACAGTGTAAATGTTTTAACGTAACAGTGAATGTAACAGTGTAATGTTTTAATTTTATTTTTCTCTATTGTTGTTATAATTTTGTTTAGATTCATAAAAATATAATAAATACAACAAAAGAATTTACAATAAAAAGCCTAGAACTCACAAGAAAAAGCCTAGAACTTACAAGAAAAAGCCTAGAACTTACAACAAAAAGCCTAACAGTTGAGTGCTTTCTATGATGCTACAATGTCGCAAGAAGCTATTGAAAAAGTAAAAAGCAAACAACTATCAATTAAAATAGCTTTAAATTTATATAACATAAAAAGAGGAACTTTAAACAATGATTGCTACAACAAAGAAATATGGGCATCCAATAAATTTGAATGAGTTTGAAGAAAATAATATTGTGAAAATAGAAAATCGTCGCTACAAAACAAGATTGTTATAAGTTCATTTTTCTGTTCTGAGAAAAAGGCATTTAAAGTTTTTAATTCATCACTGCGTTTAATCTCTTAACTAAAATAAAAAATAAAAAATTTAATTTTATGAGAAGCAACTGAACCTAAGATAATCTTAAAACTATATAAAATATGACAAAATGCTACAAATTAAATTACTGCTGCAAAACAAGACCATCTTAAGTCCATCTTAAATTTTGGCAGTTCTGAGAAAAAGACATTTAAAGTTTTAAATTTAATCACTGCTTTTAGTTTTTTTGATTAAATCAATTTTTTTTTAGTTATTTGTGAAAGAATTAAATATGCATTAAGTATTTTAAATCAAAAAAGTTTTTTTTGCAAAAAAATGAACATAGGATAGTTTTGTTTTGCAGCAAGGATGTCTGTTAATTATGTTTTTTAGGACATAAGATATTTGAATTTTACTCATAGTTGTTAATGTTGAATCAGTTTTGGTTCCATACTTTGTGAGATGACTTTTGTGCACCTAAGGAGTATTTTAAACCAAAAAATTCAATTTTGCCAAAAATGGACTTAAGACAGTTTTGCTTTGCAGCAACAAACTAATATTGTGCATATCTTATACAGACAGTCTGTAATTGGGGCTTTACTTTTACCCCTTTGAAAGTAGCTGTAAAACGTTATTTAAATACTACTGGAAAGAAATGTACCCTGTTTAAACGTTATTTAAATACTACTGGAAAGAAATGTACCCTGTTTAAACGTTATTTAAATACTACTGGAAAGAAATGTACCCTGTTTAAACGTTATTTAAATACTACTGGAAAAAAATGTACCCTGTTTTACAAAAAAACCTGTTCATGAGAATGGTCAATTGGAATTTGCGTTACCACAAAAACAGTCTCTGCCAACAATTATGTCAAAATCTTAAAAGTGCAAAAGTTCTAGAGCTTCAATTAATATTTTAATAATTTACAACATTCATTAAAAGATGAAAATGGAAACATTTTTTAATGCCTCATTGATTTTTAACTTTGATAAAACTAATGTGACAGATGATCCTGGTGATGTTAAATGTTTGTACAGGTGTGAAACAAAATATCCAGAGCAAATTAATGACAGTACAAAGGCAAGCATTTCTATGTTTTGTGTTTAGCAGCATTCCGACTCCTTATGTAATTTACAAACCTCAAAATTTATGGAATTGCTGGACAAAGGGTGGGTTAAGAGGTGTAAGTGACAACAGAACAAAATCCGGTTGGTTTGATGCAAAGGCATTTTCAGATTGATTTGAGAGTTCTTTTTCACCATATACTAAGCTCCCTCCCACTAGTAAATTTGTAACTATAGGTGATAATCTAGCTATCATTTTACTGAAAGAGTTATAAGCTTCTCACTTGAAAATAGTATTGCTTTTGTATGCCTTCTTAAAAAATTTAACTCATATGTTAGCCACTAGATGTTACATTTTACAGACCATTGAAAATGAAATGGAGATCAATATGAATGAATATACAATGAATGGAAAAAAGTTCTTATAAGAACACTATAATTGCCAAAGTTTCCTTAATTCTTTAACAAATTTAAAAGAAAACATATCCAATTTTGTAGTGTAGTGTGCTTGAGTCTACGAGGTTTGGTAAAGATGTAGAACCAAGTTGTAGACCTAAATGTTCCAAACTCAACATTAAGTTTGGAAAGTTTAGAACCAGGAAAAAGTGTGTTATTTGAAGATAATAATTACACTATTACCAATAAACCTGATACTTTAAAACACAAGAAACATAACAAAACCAAATAAAAATCAAAACTGAAACAAACAAAAATCATGGCAACATAGCAAAACATGAAGAAACTTTGATAAAAGTCAAACCAGTGCACTAGTAAATAGATTTTTAAAAAGATAGTCAATTCTGACAAGTTAAATAACAAATAGTGCATTTTGCTTAAATGTTTTGTTTGCAAAAAAATTTATATATTTATTCTTATATATAATAATAAAAATTCTTATATATATTCTTATATTTTTGTACATATTCTTACAATTATATATATATCTTACATTCTTTTTTTTTTATATATATATCTTACATTATTAAATATATATCTTACATTCTTATTAATAAATAACTTACTTTGTAGTTATTTTATATTTTGTATATGAAAACAATTCAGTTGTTAATATAAAACATAATACTTGTTTTCATTTTTAATTATCATTTATTTAAAGTTAATTAATATCAACTTAAAGCATTTTGAGGTATTATTGATAAATAAAATTAATGTAACTCAAAAATGTGGTTAGATCTAGTCTTTAACAAACTTTTTTTTTACAAAATAGCCCCATCACAGGGATTACTTTGTTTTTACAAAATAGCCCCATCACAGGGATTACTTTGTTTGACTAAAGTAGCCCCATCACAGATGTTACTTTAGCAAAAAAGGTACAAGGGGGAAAAAAATAACAATAAATTACAAATTTTTCTGTCTATCAGAAGGAAAAAAAGATAAAAACATCAAGTATTTATTAGGAGACAAAATTTTAAATTTCATAATTAATTTAAAATCTGTCCAAAGTAACCACATTTTATGCTAATGCCAATTCAATTCATTAACCTTAAATCATAATTCAATTTATTTATTAAGGTTTGGTAACCTTAAATCATAATTCAATTTATTTATTAAGGTTTGGTAACCTTTAATAAAAAGATTTGAAAAAAAAACTTGGTTCAAAGTTATATAAAGTAATATAAAAAAAATACCTAAAAAAATAATTTATAAAATAAAGAAAATACCTTAATCCATCTAAGAAGTCTATTGACAGCATTGATAGCTATTGATTTTGTAGTCAAAGGATTAAAGGCTGCATATAATTCAAACCCTGATGTAACCCAACCAAGGAGCATTTCTGTTGATAATGAAACACAAAGTATTTTTGCTGGTCTAGAACTTCCGTGGATTCGGTGATGAAGATGAAGGTATTGACTAAAAAGTCTAAAAAAACATTCAGCTGCTAATAGTTCATTTGAATCAAAAAAGTGATTCAGTAGTTTTAATTTTTTAAGTTCATTTTTTCTTAAAGAATTGAAAGATAAAAAAAGCAGATTATTAAAAACACATTGAATAATTTTTTATTTGATAACACATGAAACACATTAAGCAGCAAAAACACAATAAATAAATTTTTTTTTTTAATCATTAAAATTATGTTTAGTATTAAAAAAAAACATAAAATCATTGTAAACATTTTATTTTAAGAATTATGATCAGTATTAGATTAATCAGCTTATGCATTATTAAATTGAAAAAATTTTCCCCTTAGTAACAAAATAGAATTAAAAATTCCTTAGTAACAAAATAGAATTAAAAATTCTGAAATACTTCTACAAGCCCAATCATCTTTTACTATTTTTATTCTAAACAAATAGATACAAAATAAATACTAAATAACAAACTTTTTATTCTAAACAAATGGATACAAAATAAATACTAAACTTTTTATTCTAAACAAATGGATACAAAATAAATACAAAATAACAAACTTTCTATTCTAAACAAATGGATACAAAATAAATACAAAATAACAAACTTTTTATTCTAAACAAATGGATACAAAATAAATACTAAATAACAAATTTTTTATTCTAAACAAATCGATACAAAATAAATACTAAATAAAAAATTTTTTATTTAAAAAAAATGGATACAAAATAAATACTAAATAACAAACACAATTATTCCAAAACAGATATTTTCAACAAGGCTGCAAGCAATTTAAGTTGGGAGTTAATAGAGTAATTTTGTCTCTGCTGTTATGAGAAAATAATGATCTTTGTATAAAAGATATTCCTAATATATATTCCTCACTGTGACAAGATGAAACTTTATTTAAATTGAGCACCTTCATATAAAAAACCCGTAAAAGACCCACCCATTGCTTTCATTGACATTATATTAGAAATCATCTTAACCAACAGCAAAAAAAAAGCTGTTGACATAAGTCTTAAAAAAATGTAAACTGTATTCAGAAATGAATTTCTAAGCATAAATGCATAAAGAAAAAAAGAAACAATAAAAAAGAAAGTTTTTAGAAGGATCAGTTAGAGTAAAAGTAACTTAAATGAAGAGTCATGCAAGATTAAGTTTTAATGGAACAAGTGATCGTTGCTCGAGTGGCAACCGTGTAGTTTTATATAAAAAAATGTAACTTTAAAGCAATAGGACGGAGGCTTAGCAGCTATATTTAAAGTTTTTCAAATTGAAAGAGAAAAGACATCATTAGAAGAACTAACCCAAATATGACAACAGTATTCCATACAAGGATAAATAATAGATTCATAGAGGTAAAGAATGGAATCAGGAGTAAGAAAATAGTGAACACAATAAAGTGAGGCAACTTTAGCAGATTATTTTGTATATATGATCTTTCAACTACTTATATAAAAAGAATTTTGAAGAAATTTTATGGTTATGTGTTTTTTGAGTTTTTTTTTAAAGATTGATCTGTTACTTACTAAACTTGATTGAAAGGAAAAAAACATACTTTACGCAAAGGAAAGACGACATACTTTATGCAAAGGGAACACAAAATACTTGTAAATACTGAATACAAATAAAATACAAATAAATAAATACATCCTTAGGAAATTAAGAAACCACTATGATGTGATCAATTTAATAAAACAACTTAACAGAACCAAAGAAAAAATCATAAAAACAGAGCATTCACAACATAATATTTGATTAGAAGTCTGCTGAATTTGATGCTCAAAACACCTTCCAAAAAAAACTTTTACTTTTTTTATAACTGATCTGGCTGCAAGTGTACTTTAGCAAGTGTACTTCAAGTGTACTTCAGACTAATAAACAAATAAGTGTTTCCAAATAAGAAAGTCCTTCTGCATACTTTTTAAAATAATTTGTGAAGAGAACTTATTACTTAAATTAAAGAGGCTTAATAATAAAAAAAAGAAGTATTATAGACAAGAAAGATTATTTTACTTTTTGAAAAAGAATTTTATTAAAATATGCTAAAGATGAAAAATAAATAAAAATAATACCTTTCTTGTTCAAGATCAGAAGTATAAGGATGACCAATTTCAGGAGAAGTAAATTGAGCAGTGCTTCGCGATTTGTAAACAAAATGTCTCAGTTCTGATATACCAACTTGTTCTAATAAAAAATTATTTGAAGGTATTCAAACACACACATATATAATTTATATATATATATATATATATATATATATATATATATATATATATATATATATATATATATATATATATATTTTTTTTTTTCTGATTTTTGATGAGTCTTTATTGATTTCTGATGAGTCTTTATTGATGAAACACAGTGTTAAATGAGAAAAAATTTTGATAAGTGATTTTCTACTAATTTATATATATATAATATTTATATATATATATATATATATATATATATATATATATATATATATATATATATATATATATATATATATATATATAGAGAGAGAGAGAGAGAGAGATATACATATATATATAAAAATATAAATATATATATATATAAAAATATAAATATATATATATATATATAAATATATAAATATATATATATATATATATATATATATATATATATATATATATATATATATATATATATATATATATATATATATATATATATATATATATATATATATATATATATATATATATATATATATATATATACATATATTTGGGTTAAGACTTTTTTGTGACCTCACTTTCCTGGGTCATAAATCAAATATTTGTACAAAGTAATGAAAAAAACAGTTTACAATTCTTATGCTTTGTTAGAAAAACTGGAGGTTCTCATTCTTTTTACTTTTTACCTTCTTTTTTTTATCAAAAAGATTTTGGAGGCACTTAATTGCTTGCCTGCACATTCATTTATTCCAAAACATTTTCACTGAGTTTAACGTTTTTTTGAGACTGCGAAGGTGCTACTTAACTTTCGATAACCATCTGCATTGTACATTTTATCAGTGAACCAATGGTCTGCCCATCTGTAAGAGATGAATCTACAAATGTTGAGTGGTGAGTCTCTTCTCTGTGGTAGAAGAATAAATGCCGAAAGAGTTAATGTTTCTTGGGAATTCCATCTTGCATTATTTAATTTAGGTATTTTCTAAAACTTTACTTTATTTTTCTTCTTCAAAATTTCAATGACATTTTTCTTCTTTTGAAATTAATGGTATTTTTTTTCTTTTGGATGGATGGATGGTTTTGAACAAGTAGCCTTCCCAGTTCTGTACCCAACCTATCGTTTGCTTTTAATCTGAAGATGATACAATCTTTTAACCTCACTGCAGAGCCATTCATCATCATTTTTGTGATGTAAAAAAACTTCATTTAATAGATCATAATTTCTTTGTTTTACACATTTATTATACATCTTCAGCACTTGATCCAGTTTCGCTTGTACAACTTGAATTGATAAATGTGGAGAATTTAATTTCCTTTGCAATAAATTTGTTGCTTCTTTCTCAATTGGCTTTACGCATTCTCATCTCCCTTTGATGGATTCTCTCAGGAACAGATAGTGATCAACAATTAGGATTTTGAGTATTATCCTGCTGTTATTTTCCAGTGATTTTTCTTCAAGTGGAACAGTTCTTCTTTTACTAAGTGACTCATAAAATCATACATGAATCTTTATCCAAATCCTCTTACTTCTTTCAGTATTGGAAGCACTTTTCTTTTCACTTTTCTTATAGGACATTATGATTGAAGATAATAATCGAATGTATTTTCGAAAACAAATAATAATAAATACAAGTGCTATTGCACTTCTATATAATTTGACTGCCATCTGATGAATACAGATTCATATATAAATATTAGCGTTACTCAATAAGGCAGCTTATATAGTTCATTTACAGAATAGTTCAGAAAATTGCAAAAAGTTCTGTAAGGTTCAAGAAAATTCTGGCTTCAGAAACTCAAAAAGTAACTGCCTGCAAATACTACTTATATAATATTTAAGAAATTTCATGTAGTGGGTAACCTTTTTTGAAAATTAATCAGAATAAAACTCATCTTCATTACTTTTGAACAAAAGTTTATTGATTTATGACACAGGAAATTAATAAAATTTACAAAAAGTAAAAAATTTATAACCCTAATCTATAATATATATATATACATATATATATACATATATGTATATATATATATATATATATATATATATATATATATATATATATATATATATATATATATATATATATATATATATATATATATATATATATATATATATATATATATATATATATATATATATATATATATATATATATACATATATATACATACACAGTGGTGTACACTAGACTTTTAGATGTTTGAGTTTTGACACTTACAGGTATTGTGCAAATTCCAAACTTTTGAATGTTCATGCTTATGTCAAATGATAATGTTTTGCAAAGAGTTGCGGTGATAAGAGCATGGGGACAAAAACACCCCAATTTTTGGGTCCACCCAGCCCTTAACGTGGGAGTAACAAGTTGATAAAATAATTTTCAAATTTCATCAACAAATTTCAAATTTCATCCAATAATTTCTTATTTTTCAAAAATTATGACCATATAAAGTTTTAACCCCCCTCAATTTGAGGGGGCTGTAAACTTTGAAGGGTAATAAAAACTAAAAACTAAGAGGTTATTGCATGAAATTTGAAATTCGTTGATGAATATAAACTTAAATAAAAATACTAAAGAAATTATTTTATCAACTTGCTCCCACGTTAAGGGCTGGGTGGGCCCGAAAATTAGTTTTTTTTTGTCCCCAAGCTTCAATCACCACAACTTTTTGCAAAACATTCTCATTTGAGATAAGTATGAACATACAAAAGTTTGGAGCTTGTAAAATGTGTGTAAGTGTCAAAACTCAAACATCTAAAAATCCAGTGTACACCACTGATACATATATATATATATATATATATATATATATATATATATATATATATATATATATATATACTATAGCATATATAAATCAGCAAATGGTCACTAGTTTTATCTTTATAGTTATACATGTTTTTCAGAAAAAGAAGAAAAAAAAGAATAATAATGAAAGAAAAGATTGCTGCCCCATCCCAAACCCTCAGTCACTGTATTTTTGTGTATTTGGATTGATTTTGAATGACTTATATTTACATATATCATTTTACCAATATATATTACTTAAAGATTACTTTATATATATATTACTTAAATATATATTACTTAAAGATTACTTAAAGATTACTTTAAGTATACCTATATTGTAAAAGTATTGTAATTGCTAATAGTTTTTTTGAAAGAGTTTATTACATTGCTAATTTATTATTTATTTGTGTATTTGCTGTTGAAGTGAAGTGTAAATCACGGAAGATTTAACATTTTTTATGTAAATCAAAGAAAACTTGTTTTCAGAAAATATTTATAATCGATTTTATATATATATATATATATATATATATATATATATATATATATATATATATATATATATATATATATATATATATATATATATATATATATATATATATCCTATAGTGTAGTCGAAAAAGACTTTTATGGTAAAAAAAAGTCTCTTTCGACTACAATTTTTTTACTTTATCTCTTAAGCTGCATTTTGTTGTTGTCGAAATTAAATTAATGCGGAAAGTCAAAGCAATTAAATTAATGCGGAAGTACATTAAATTTTATTGTTTTTTTTTAAAAAACCGCAATAATAATGACTAGAAAGTTTTTTTTAATTAGTAGTGCTTTTGTTTTTGTTTTATTAAAAAACATTTTAAAAACATGCATAAGTGTTGCTACATCGACTATCTTATAGCCTGCTGCTACAAGTGAGTGTTGTTACATCGACTATCTTATAGCCTGACTCACAACAGAGTGCTGCTACATCGACTGAAAAATAGCCTGACTCGCAAGGGAGTGCTGCTACATCAACTGACAAATAGCCTAACTCGCAAGGGAGTGCTGCTACATCGACTGACAATTAGCCTGACTCACAAGGGAGTGCTGCTACATCAACTGAGGGTTTGGTTTGGGCAGGCAGTCATTTTAAATAAAAATCATTTAAAAAAAAAATTTTTTTTAGAAGTTTTTTAACATTTTCTAGTCAGGCTTATTAACGCGCTCTTTAAAACAACAGTTTATAGGTAAAACTTTGTGAATACCATGCAAGAATATATATATATATATATATATATATATATATATATATATATATATATATATATATATATATATATATATAATATATATATATATATATATACAGTCGTGGCCAAAAGTTTGGAATCGAATTTTTCAACAAAAACCATGTTTTTTCTAATTTATTGCATACAAATAAAGATAGTATAGCACCAATTCATATAATACTGCATATTAGACTAGAGTGTATAGCACCTACAATGTTGAACAAATCTAACAATATAAAAAGTTGCAAAAATTTAATATTTGGTAGGATAACCGCGGTTCTTTAATACAGCCGCAATTTGACGTGGCATGCTCCAAACAAGTTTCTTGCACAGTTCTGGTGTTATCTCTTTTGTCCAAACTTCCACTAGCTTCCTCTGTAAATCTTCAATATTCTGTGGCACCTTTCTTCTCATTTTACGCTTCAGTATGGTCCACAAATTCTCTATGGGGTTAAGATCGGGGCTGTTACCCGGCTAGTCGAGAACGGATACCTTGCTTTTCTTGAAGAAAACTTGCATCACCTTGGAAGTGTGGCATGGAGCATTGTCTTGCTGAAATATGGTTGTTCTATGTGACTCCATGCTTGGGAGCAGCTTTTCCTGTAGAATTCCCAGATATTTGTGGGAATTTACTCTCTGTCCCTTCGGTACAAAATGTAACCGGCCGCAAAATCGAGCTGAGAAGCAACCCCACACCATTATTGACGGTGGATGTTTTACAGTAGGCACAATGTACTTCTGAACATACCTGGATCCTTGTGGTCTTCTAACATAATTACATGATGTCCCAAATTGTTCAAATGTGCTTTCATCAGAAAACATTACTTTCTCCCAGTCCTTCTCCTTCCAATGTTTGTGCTTTTTGCAGTTCAACCTCCTCTTGCGTTGAGTGTTATTCAAGGCTGGTTTCTTGGCAGGTCATCAAGCAGGACGCTTCA